AAGTAGTTGCTTCATCTTCCCACAGTGTTCCAAGCTCCAACACCAACAGACTTCTCTGTGTATTAGCTTACTTCTCCCTGAAGCTTTTCCTATGCTACAGAATGTGGTGCTCTACGGGAAGCTGTAAAATGTCTCACAAATTGGCTGAGGTAAATCAGTGCCACGATGGCTCCCTGCCCAGTCTGTCTAGTCGTGCTGAGAGCCCCGTGCTAACCTGTCACTGCTGCTCTCTGGTGTTGCAGTGCTGTAACACTGCATGGGGTTGTATGCATGCACCAACTACTCTGGAGGTAACTGTGTGTTTCTATCATATTTTGCATTTCCTGGATTTAGACATTCCTGCCTGTCTACTTTAATTGGTGCGTAATTAGCACCAGTACGGTGCTTTCCCCGTGTGACCCTCTTCATCTTTACATATCTAAATCTGTCCAGTCCTTCATATGGTGTTACTCTGTTAACTGTCTAAACAAATGAAGCTTTTAATGGGTTTGTTGTGTGAAAAGTCATGTTTACACACGGAAACTTCTGCCTTTCTATTAGTAGTTTCTGCAGACAAATGCAAGAATTAGACTGCTATTTGAAAATCAATACAAAGAGGACACAAAGACAAAGGGAACACAGTTTGGGTGTTCTGAGTGCATATACTATATGTTATAGAACATCCTCTTTTCTATCTAGCTTTGATTGCCCCTTCTGAATGATATGCATGCTGACTAAAACAGAAAGCATTCTGGCTGAATTCTCTTGTTACCCATTTTCTGAGAAAATTAACTAAACAAATAAAAACAATGGTATCAGGACTTAAGATGGCCCTGTAAGTAGCACATTGATGGAGATAGCCAGCAATGCTAAGGGATTAATACAAATTCCTTGTGACAAATCTATCATACTCCAGGTGTTATTGATAGAACATGCTAAGGTAATTCCAAGTACCATTTCAATTACAAATTATAAATTTCTCTTCTGCAGTGACCTGCTCTGAGTGTCACTAAATTTTATCAATCTGACACACAAGCTCATTTCCCTGTCTTCTGATATTTACTATCATATTTTTCATAGGCATATATATTCCTGAACCTTCCACAAAGGACAGAAATGAATACCACCAGCACAGAGCTGCAATTCCAGTTCAGCCAAGGCAGATTAAACTTGAAAGAATTCTAAATGAATTAAATGAAAAAGTATGGTGCATCCTTATTTCATCTTCATCAAATTATAAACTGTTGCTGAATAAAGCAAAATAAAGCTTGCATAGTTGCCATCAATTACTCTGTTACTCTCTGAACCCGTTCTGAATTGCAAAGTGCTGGAGGAATTGAAATCTGAAATCTTTCATGGGTGCTTCCCAGATGACATTATGTCATTCTATATACCAGTGAACCTTTATTCAGGGAAGCCTTATATCTAGATTTCTTCTATCCTTACTGTATTGTAAAAACCAGGGCCCGGTCTGTATCTTATTCCTTTCTAGTTATTTATACCTTTGCCAACTGCCAACTCTGAAATATAACAGCTGAGAAATTTTGATTACTTCAAGAATTTACTTAGAAAATAATAATTTAAAAAAAAGTGTTCAGATGTTCCTAGGAGTAAGAAAAATATGTTTTGCTTAGCAGATCTGACCAGCCAATAGGTAACCCATCCTGATCTGGCCAAATGAGTCTCTCTGCAAAGAATTGCCAGACACACAACCTCCTTGCACTCTATCTCGCTCGTTGAACTTGTTTCTGAATCCAAGAATTTGTAATTATGATTCAGTGCAGGAATATCTAGCACAGTTCGAATGTGGACTCACTTGGAAATTTTAGGCAGGCATGCTCTCTGTTCCTTTGTACAGAGGAGCATTCTCTTGCAGCCCTGGGGTAAGTGCCTCTGTGCTCACCATGTCCTCCTTGCTGCAACTGTTGCAGCCAGGAGGGGGATTCAGCCGGAGCAAAAGCTGGACCTAGTCTGGATGAGGTCATGGAAGAAAACAGATTTGGACAAAAATCTTGGAGCTGACACCAGATCCAGAAGGGTGAGGAAAAACAGCAACACAAGGTCAGGGCAAGCAGAGGATGAGGACTGCTGCAGTGAACACCACTCTGAAAATGATTGATTCTGCGCCTGCTAGCCCCAGAGCTCTCCTACATGATGTCAGGTGCATTACTTGAACCACAGGTGGCCACCGAGTGCTCTTTTTACACTTGCTGCTAGGTTTGAGAGCCCGGGGTCTGATATGTAGTAGTTAGCATTCACAGCTGCATCCGATGTCAAACGTACAAAGCACTGTGTCATGCTAACTATTTCACCAAGGCAAACCCCAGTCATCTCAAGGCTGGCAACCAAAATTAATAGGCATATTTAACCTTAATCTCTCTGTCTCAATTCCCAATAAGTAAAATGTTGATATTCCCTACACCTCATGAACATAATTCATAAGCATTCATTGTATGCTCAAGGTACTGTAACAATAAATGCTGTAGAAAAGCCTGCTACGATGTCAATAATTCCACATTGCAAGCAGGATTAAACAGATTGAAACAAAGCTTAAGGACATATGCTGAACAAAGAGATTAAACATAAACTGAAAGGCTGCACAGTGTCTGTCCCATGCACTCTGCAAGGCAGTGGTCCTCTGAACAAAACAGTAATATCACACAATTAAAGGCTAAATTTTAAGTCATACCCTCTACAAGTCAAAACAAGCTCGTCTGAAAACTCTTACCTTTGGCCAAGGGTCAATACTTGGCTTTTTAATCATAATATTCTTTTCATGTGCAGCTTGTGTTTTGAATTCTTTGGGGTTTTTTGTGTGAACAGAACATAATAATTTAAGGATATATATATCATATATATATATATATTAAATTGCTTTACACTGTGCACACAAAATCATACTTTTTTTTTAAAGTGGAGGAATAATAGGGGAAAAATAAAAATAGGAAAAACAGTTTCAGTGTATCAAGATATGGCACAAAGTAAATTTTATTTCTTGTCCCGCACATTGCCCTAGCTAGAAATTGTAATAATAGGTGTGACAGTTCACATATATGAAAGTACATAATTTTACAGCTAATTTACATGTTTAAGCATATGTTTCAACAACAGAGATTTCTATTTCTTCTTCCTCCCAAGAGATGGGTTTTTTTATCTGTAGGTGCTTAGAAATATGGCAAGAACTCTCAACAATACAGCCTTCCCACTTAAATTTTGCTCCATTGATTGGTCTCTTTTTCCATCTTTTTTTTTTTAATCTCTGCCTAGAGATCAAAGACATTCTTTGCAACCAGAAAAATAAAGATTTATTGATTCACCTTACAGGTCTTTCTCATCAAAGCATCCATTTTTCTCAAACATTCAGTGTAAGAGCTTATCTGTTTCTCATCTGCAACAGCAACTAGCACTATTAACCAAATCTGCAATATTGTCATCCAAGCAAGACGGTAGATACTGAAGTATTCAAAGGAGTATAAAACATTAATGAAAGCAGAGTATGATAAGTAGGCCCCCAGTACTTCCTAAGTGTTTCAAAGAAATATTAATGAGAATTAAGGAGTTCAACCATGCAATTAGATTGATGACTTTATCTGGTGAAAGGTGTTGGCTATTTTTGTTTTCAAGTGAACTGCAGCCCTAAAGGGCCCAGAGTGGGCTTATTTTTTTGTATCTTGTTACTTTCTCTTTTTCAGAAATGGTATGTCATACCTCAATTTGCCTTTGCTACAGGTTTCATATAAGACTGTGGAGCATCTGTGCATTGATGTTGTAGAACTGTGTAACTGAAACCAGGAGATTCCTCTCCAAACTAAGAAGGTCTGTTTATTCAGGCAATATGAGAGTATTTTTTATCAAGGAATGCAGCAAGAATGGTTCTTTATTGTTAGACTCTGTCTTCGTCCTCTTATCCACACCAGGAATATTAATTTCTGTATTTTACCCTTTGCTGCTGGTTGCCAACAAAAAAAATCAAAGTCAGTAGCATAGGCAGCATTGAAAGGCAAGTGGCAAAAACATCTGAATGCAGTCTCCTGAGCAAAATTTCCAGCTGTAAGTGTGAAAAGATTAAGTCAGGTCCCCTAAACTGGAATACTTTTTTTCTAAGCCTTAAAAGGAAAAGTGTGATTGCTTTTTAATTTCTTCCATGGCGAGTTACACTTGGCTTCTGATTTCCAGTCTTACAAACCACAGCAAATAGAATTTTTCTGTTTTTTAGAAATGAAGAGTCTCATATGATGCCATGAGCAGGATCTTGGGAAATCCCCAATTCCAGCCAGGTCAATAAAACAAAATGGTAAACCAGCATTACCACCCCAAGCTTTCCTCCCCCCACTGCTGTGCTGGCAACACAGATGCATGGGGAATGAAATGTATTTCTACATCAGACAATGTCCAAGAACAAGCTCCAAATAAGCCATCAGGACACATCGGGGACATATGTTGTATAAAGAGGATGAAGCTATTACCCAGCTCAGCTCTGATTGAATGCCATTCACCCACCAGTGGCTGTCTAGGAAAAATAGCATGATTGAGTAATTAGAGACTGTATCATAAACCATATGTACAATGGGGTCAAATTAAGCTTCTTTGTGCAATCTTAATTTTATAATTTCTATACTTGTCTAACGCCTTGTCCCCAGTAGACAACAGCTCAGCTTCAGTCGCCCCAGCAAGGCTGCAAGGAGAAGAGTGGTGATCCCTTTCGTCCCCCGCAGAGGATTTTACACCATGTTAAGGCAGCGGACCTTCCCGCCGCGTTGGACCGTGCTCGGCACGGGCGATGTGCGGGCGCGGCGGCCCGGGGCAGGTGCGCTGTGCCGGCGGGGCCGGGCGGCGGCGGCGCCCGCAGGGGTCGCTGGCGCGGAGGCGGCGGGCGCATGGCGGGACCGGAGGCCGGGGCGGGCTGGGGCGGGCCGGGGCGGGCCGGGGTGGGCGGGCTCCGGGGCCGGGCCGGGCGGGGGGCGGCGGGGCCGGGCGGCGCGCATAAGTCGGCCGCGAGTTGCAGGCGGCCGGCAGCGGAGCGCTGGCTGTAACTTGACACCGGGGCGAGAGGCCGAGCGGAGAGAGGGAGCGAGAGCGGCGGCGGAGGAGGAGAGGAGCCCCAGGGAGCGGGATGGTGACCACCTCCTTCCCCTCCCCTTAGCGGCGCTCCGTAGCAGCAGCAGCAGCAGCAGCCGCCGTAGGAGCGCCGGGGACTCTCGCCTGACGCGGAGCCGGGGACAGCCGGCGATGGGGACGGGACGGATCCCCTGAGCTCCCGGGAACTTTCCCGGCCGCGGGCAGCCGGAGCTGGGCAGGCGGATGGAGGATGCGCTTTCCCCGGCGGGCTGCGTGAGCCGGCGGCGGCGAAGGGGAGGATGAAGAAGAAGGAGCAGCACGGCGGCGGGGAATGCCCGGCGCCCTGGCCCCCCGCGGCGGCGGCGGCGGCGGCGGGAGGGGGCCAGGGCGGGGGCTTGATGAGGCGGCGGCCCCTCTCGCTGCTGCCCTTCCTCTCGCTGCGCGACTACGTCTTCTGCATGGCCACCCTGCTGCTCTTCTGTTTGGGCTCCCTCTTCTACCAGCTCAACGGGGGCCCCCCGCACTTTCTGCTGGCCCTGCGGCACTGTCTGGGTAAGGGCGGCCGGCGGCGGCGGGGACTTGTTGCGGCTCTCCCTCACCCCCCGTGGCGGCTGGGCCGGGCCTCCCTCCCTCCGCACCGGGGACGCGGCCGCGGGGCTGGGGCGGCCGGGGCTGCCGGGCGGGCTGGGCAGGCGGGACGCGGCGCTGTGAGCGCTGACACCGGAGCGGGACCGAGCGTGGGGCGCGCCCCGCCACAAGTTCCTGCTGGCCAAAGCGGAGTCCCTTCGGGACTTTCTCAGTCCCGGGAGCACTGTGCCCCCGCGGGCGGTTCTTTGTGTGCCCGGTGGCCGTGGCAGAGCGCGGCGTGCCGGCTCCTCCGGCCGCCTGCTCGGTCCGAGGCGGGGCGGAGCGCAGGGCAGCGCTCGCTGCCCGCGGGTCGCGCACCGGGGCAGCTCGGGCACAGCCGCCCGGAGCTGTCAGCGCCTCCCCGCCGGGTGCTGTGCCCCGGGGAGGACAGGCGGGGTGCCCATGGCCCACAGCAGAAGATGCTGTTCAAAAAAAACCAAAAAAAAAGCCCCAACAAAACCAAAAACCCCAGATGCACTTTGTGAACCAAGCATCCATCCTTGTGCAGGAGGTTGGAGTCTGGAGCGAGGGTTTGCTCAGCAGGGTCAGTGCAGCAGCGCTCGAACACTCGAGCTCACCCGGGTGCTTTGCCAGCCTGGTTGCCTGCGGAGCCCCGGTGGAGCGGGTGTGAGCCCCACGCAGTGGCCTGCAGTTCTCACCCTCATGCTGACCCCAAGTTTTCACGTGGTTTTTCTTTGTAGCCAGCGTCCATATCGCTAAATGTTGCTTCCCTGCTCAGCAGAGTTGTGTGAAAAAGAGTTTATCGTGAGGTCGAGTAAGTACCTTAGGCTGGCAGGGCTAATTCAGGTGGTGGCAGGACAAGGGGGAATAACTCTGAACTGAAAGAGGGCAGATTGCGTTTAGCTGTTAGGAAGAAATTCTTCACTATGAGAGTAGGGAGGCACCAGAACAGGTTGCCCAGAGAAGCTGTGGATGCCCCATCCTTGGTATTGTTCAAGGCCAGGCTGGATGGGGGTTTGATCAGCCTGGTCCAGTGGAAGGTGTTTCCTGCCCATAGCGGCAAGATTGGTTTAGATTGGAAGGAACCTTTAGGACCATTCTGTGATTCTGTGATATGAAATAGGGAACAAAAACCGAGTGTTTCTCAATAGAGGAGGATTACTACAGAATAATCTGTGGTGTGAGTTTTTACCACATTGGCCGGTCTGCTTTACTTGTGTGTGGAGGTGAGGCTTTGGTGGTACATGCTGCAGAGGTGCAAGCTGTAAGAGACAATGTTAGGTTACAAACAAAAATACTGTTCGTGTATTTCAGAAAAATAAGCTGCAGATCCTTTTCTATGTGTCCATAGTGTATGAACATTTTAAGAATACAGCCCTGAGTGTGTGTGTTGCTTTTCCTTATGGGAAAACTATCCCTTGTCCTTCAGTTAGCTAGTGAGAGAGTATGGAGAGGCAGTAGGACCAGAGACAACAAACACAAGTTGCAACAAGGGAAATTCCAATGAGATATCAGGAAAAAAAGATTTCAGTGTGAGAGAAGTCAGGTGTTGGAGCAGGCTACCCAGGGAGGTTGGGATGTTCTTGTAGATATTCAGAATTCAGCTGGACTAGCCTCTGAGCAGCCCAAGTAAATTTTTCCTGTTTTCTTGGGGAAATAGGACCAGGAGAACAGAAGTGACTTCCAGAAAATGCTATTCCGTAAATCTGCTGTATAAAGTCAGTGAAAATTCAAGTGAAAATAGGAGAAGAAAAACGTTTTGGATATTACTTCACGAACACAACAATTTTAGCTTGAGTTTTAATGACTTTTTTTCCCTTTAATATTACAATTAGGAAGAAATTCCTCCACTGAAGAGGAAACTGACAATTTTTCTGCCATAGAATCACAGAATTGCTAGGTTTGGAAGGCATCTCTGGAGATCATCTCGTCTACCTCCCATCCCAAGGCAGGGTCACCTAGAGCAGGTCAACACAGGAACACATCCAGGTGGGTTTTGAATGTCTGCAGACAAGGAGACTCCACAGTCTCTGTGGGCAGCCTGTTCCAGTGCTCTGCCACTTCTTATGGTTTAGTTTATGGCCACCGCTCCTTGTCCTCTCGCTGGGCATCATGGAAAAGAGTCTGGCACCATCCTCTTGGCACCCACCTTAGAGATATTTATATGCATTAATGAGATCCCCTCTCAGTCTTCTCTTTTCTGCACTAAAGAGGCACAGCTCACGCTGGTAGAAGATTTTGTTTGCAATTGATTGATACTTTAGTGGGATTAAACACAATCTTTGGTTTCAGAAAAAAGTTTTTGTCAATTTTTAAGTTTTCATTTTCTTCAGGGATAAATATTGCTTAGGTTGAGTGAAAATAGACTGCAAGAAATGCAGAGTTACTGAGCTTGTGGCCTTTTGACTGCTTTTGAGGAATGGGGGGAAAAAACCCTAAGATCTACTACCCTAACCACTCTAGCCAGTAGTTGCATGTCTGCTGGAAAGTCTTCTGAGGCCTGCAGATGAAAGGCTTGGAAACCACTGCATCTTGGAGGATGGGTCAGGATAATTTTTGTGAGGTGCTCAGCAAGTGCAGAAAAGCCTTTGTTGTGTGTGCCTGAACGTGATGTGCCCCTGGGGATGGAGTGTAGTCTTACTGAAAATGTTTTGGGGTTCTTTTGATGTGTGGGATTCTCACAGGAGAAAGCAGACAGATCTATTAATCTGTGCTAATGAACTTCTGCACTTGTTACATGAATTAGTGTAGGAATTTCCTTTCTGTGCGCGAGTGCCCTGGGACGTTAAGGAGATGCAGGCTTGGCTAACAAGCCTGGGATGTTAAGGAGATGCAGGCTTGGCTAACATCCTGCACCAGGCTGGTGGCTGAGAGGGAAGCAGAGTCCTCCTGGCTGCCTGGAGTCCTGGTACCCACTAAGCAGGTGGTGCTGCTGCCTCTGCAGACAGGTGGGATGTACTCTGGGTACTGCGGTGTCTGTTTGCATGCAGATTTATGGAGTTACTTTATACTTCCTTGGTCTGCAGTTTCATTTGGGTTGTCAAAGTTGATCCACGTGGGTGACGTTACTGAACGTTTTATGTTTTAATTTTTTAGAGTGATGCATACTGCTTGAGGTATCCAGCTGGGAAGGCTTTCAAATTAGGAACAATGTTTTTTTGTAACTAGGAGGCTTATTGGCTTCCAGGGAGCTAACAGGACTGCTTGGAGGAATAGGTATGGGGCATCACATCCTGCTAACTACCGAAGCTGTATGTATAAATGTGTGTCTTATACAGCAGAGGGAAGTTTCATGATGTTTAAAAAAATCAAAACAAACCTTTTCTCCCCCCTGAAGCCACAGATTCAGTACAAGTAACTCTTTCCTTCTACTCCTTCCAACCCACAATATATGGTGTTAAAGTTCACATCTCCAGAAAAAGAGCAGTTAGTTTGTAAACCATATTTGTTATGTGAATTTTGCAGTTTCCCTCATTGGATTTAAATCTACAGAAACCAAGGAGTAGCCTAAAGGGAATATTGATTTCTGTTTTGTGCCCTCCATAGTGTGGGAGGGGTCATCTTGTCTGACTTCAGAGTTTTTGTTTGCATTTGCAAGTTTCAGTGCATTGCTCGTGTTTAGTTATGTTATTGTGAGGGGAACGCTTGGATTTTTTTACCTCAGAACTTGAAAGGAAGTTCCTGAGCAACAACACCAAACTTCAATAGTGGTCTGGACAGAAACCTCACCTGCATCAGGCAGGTGTGTGCATAAAAGAAAATCAAGTGTGAAAACACATGGTTTGAAAGACTTTAATTTTTTTATTAGGCCTGCATCATATGCTGTGGAGGAGGTTTACATTTATTTTCAAAGGAATGAAGTGTGAACATTTGCTAGTTCTATTAACTTTCCTTTGGAGGTGGGGAAGATGAATATGTTTTCAGAATATTCAGACTATTAGTAATTTCTTTTTCTCTCCCAGACTGGCTTCTCTGGTGTCTTGTCCATATATGCCTCTTTTTCTTTTGGTTGCCATACTGATTGGAGAGAATCTTGGGAAAACATTATGGTAGTTTTTAGGGTAGGCAATAGCTGTAATCAGTATTTCCACTTGATATGGCCATTTCTTTTATAGCAGAGTCATCCTGAGCAAATGAGAGTAGAGTAGTAGATGTGAGGCTGTGTTTTGTTATTTATCCTGCTCTGACTTCAAGCTCACAGTAACTCAGAGTACAGAAGGTCTGTGGAAAGCTGATGTTTCTGCTGTCTGCTGTGAATGTGGCTCATAGTGACAGGGCTCAAGTTTCACACTGCAGTCATCCCCTCTGGTGGGACCCTGTTTTTCAGCATGAAATTATTGCAGAGGGCATAGGCATATGTGGGTTATTTCTCAAGAATCTGTGGAAGATACTTAAAAGTCTATCTGTTGGCAGTAGGCTTAAATTTGCTCTGTGAGGGTGCATACCAGTCCTGGACCAAAAATGATCTCCAAAAAACAGGAAGGTTTAAAAACTGCCAGGCTTTCCAGTAATGAGCTGCAGTGTTGGGATTTGCACAAATGAGGTCTTGCTTGTTGATTCTGCCAAGGTAACCCTGGCTCACTAATTGAAAACCAACTCCAGCAGTGGAAGGAAGTGAGAAGAGTCTTCCCTTAGATGAGTAAGACACAAATCGTAAATCCTAGACAGCCCAGTGGCTTTTGGGGAATGCACCAGGGACTCCACTCCCGTGCAACTGCAGTGGTTCTACATTGCTTTATTCTTCTCTGCTTTCACTTGTGACATATACATGCTTCAAATTACAGAAATGAGAATGTCCAAGGCTGGTAGCAACCCTCTAATGGCCAATAAAAACATAAAACCTTTGTATCTTCAGTATTTGCTGTGCAAACTTGTTGTTTGTGTCAATTGAAACATTTCCCTGTTGAACTTGCCAGGAGCCTGTACAAGTACACTGGTGTGATTGCATGTGAAAGTTGCCTTTC